GTGTGTGTGTGTGTGTGTGTGAGTAGTGTGTGTGTGTGTGTGTGTGTGTGTGTGTGTGTGTGTGTGTGTGTGTGTGTGCGTGTGTGTGTGCGTGTGTGTGTGCATGTGCGTGTGCGTGCGTACGTGCACTTGCATGTGTGTATGATGTATATGTATGTGCATTCAGAAGTATACGTAAGTGTGTGCGTGCACGCACGTGTGCGCATGCACGTGCATGTGTGCGCGTGTACATCTGTGCATGTGTACATGCAACGGCCAGCGTGTTTGCAGGTGTACATACACACGCTAGCACATGCACACTATTACTTTACGTACATACACGGATTGCTTAATCGTACATTCATTTAACGCACGCTCACTACACGCACGCCACTCGCATGCACACACGCACTACATGCTCACAGCACTCAGGCTACTCATGTTAACGTTACCCATTGCTGCCGCCTTTCGCCGAATCGGAAACGACGCCGACGTCAGGTTGACGCGCGCGCGATTCACAGAGTTCCTCGTCATCATGCGGCCGAAGTTAAGCGCCCACGGCGACGGCGACGGCATGTGGTCTGCCACCTGGTGGTGAAACGGAGAACATCAGGGAACGACGCTGCTGGTGGTTGCAACAAATACACCTCACCACGAGAGAGAGAGAGAGAGGTGCCACAAGTACTCGGCAGCAGCCGCAGAATCTCCTCCGACGATTATCGAGATAGCGTATACTAATAGTAAACATCAATCCTTGTCATTTATCCGCAAAACGTGATCGTGAATCGCATTAACACTCTGTTAGGCACTCCTACCGCCCCAGGCTTGTTATTATTAAGCGAGGAAACATCAGAGAGGGAAAGTGAGTTTTCTGACACTATTGTTCTAAAAGCCACTCGAGGTGAATTTAAGACTCGAACGTGAGAGAACAATAACGTTGTTTGCACGCCACGTCACAATTGGCCAAACGTTAGCATGTCCTGAAGTAAGCAGTTTTAAACCCAACTTTGGCCCAACTGCTGCATGCTATGTGGGTACGTAAAGTCAAACCATAGAATAAGGGTCATTCAAGAGAAATGCCCAAAGTGTCCTTTTTCGACAGATAATCGCTCTATAGAGTTGGACTACAAATGCCAATCAAGGAAACCACCAAAAGCGTCCTTTATAGACAGGTGTCCGTTCTATAGAGGTTGTCCTTTATAGACAGGTGTCCGTTCTATAGAGGTGCCTGCTAACGCATGTTCGACTGCACGCATCACGGTAACACGTGCACACGACTTACATGTCTGACGACAAATGGCGGCCGTCCGTTGAGGCAGGTGAAGGAGCCGTGGAAGCTTGCAGGGCTGTACTGACTCGAGCTGACATCACTCAAACTCCGTGTGCGCACCAGGTGGCGTTCCCGCTCGCGCTCCGGCGTCCGTCTCTTCGAGCTGAAAATGCAGCGCAAGATTACGTCGCCGTAAATCGTATCGTTTGCGATTGCAATCGTTAAATTTATTAAATGTTTTTTTTACTACTCACGTATGAGGATTATTAATATGATAATAATTAATAATGTATTTCACATATTAAACATTAAGTATTTAGAATATAAACTTTAAATATACAATTTGTGTTTTTTCACTCGTTATGGTTGAATTGCTGCACTATAATTCTCACTTTACTGGTCCTTTCTGATGTAAGGAAAGTGTCACATCTCATACATTGCCCATGGTGAGTATTCAATGTGCACACGCTAGGCCGAACTGCCCAGATATCTTCGTATTTCGACTAGTTTAAAAGACACTAGCAAATTACAAATCTTATGAGTAAGAGTTTGATTCAGCCATTCTACATAATAGTGGCTCTACATAATAAGAAAAATTACCACAATTTTTTTTACAAACATTCGCCTCGTACGTGTATACGTAATATTCGTGCTATTGCCCGCTGAAGCTTGGGCCATAAAGCGACTCATAACTGCTAGTGTAATTGCTATAGTAGACCTGCTAATGTGAGACATATAGCAGCTAGTGTACGTGCTCGTAAAGCTATGATCATTGATGTAATGAATTAGGTTTTACATGAAGGTCAAGGACGAGTCGTGATCGCCTGCCGAGATATGGCAGGGCGTTGCATTATGCAGGTGCTCTCAAGCTCTCTACTATTACTATACACACTCCAAACCTGTACATAACGGTCACTCATTGGAAACCCCTAAAACGGTCCTTTATAGGCAAGTGACCGTTTTATACAGGTGGTTACACTGTATAGCCGCCGCTCAAAGGAAATGCTAAAAGTGGTGATAGGAATGAGTTCCGTTGGATTGCGATGATCAATGCATAACGAAATAGGATTAGGAAGAAACGTGAAGAAGATAGTGCAATGAAGGAATGATGACAACTGCATGACAATTAGCGAATGACGATGAATGAATGATGATGAATGAATACGATTTACAAAGGAGAAGGATTTATTACGGTGGAAACTTGGGAGGCCAGTGTGGCGTGACCTCCTTACCCCCTGTGACGAGCTTGTAAACATCCTGTACAGATATGGCTACATGGGCGTGTATGGGTGTGGTAGCAGTACCGGGCGCATGGCGCATTTGATTGGCGCATGGGGATTTGACCTTTATCGGTCTATCCACAATGTATAGGGAGGTAAGCTCGTCACTGCAGGGTAAGAAGCTCATGGTACGTCGGCAGTGCCAACCAGCCCGCTAGCATCAAGGAAAATTCGTGACAAAAAATTGCGCCAAAAATGCGTCCATCGAGCACAAACGCCGAATAATTCACGCAAAGACTCATAAATGACTTATGCGCGAGTTTAATCATGCGATGACGAGATCGCTTCTTTCGCCGAGGCAAAACATCATCGCAAAAGACTTGCGCTTGGCTTTTCACCCGCTCGCCAACGTCATCTTCCGCCACACGAAATTTACTTAGCTAATACATGCCCGACTATGACATGGCCTGCTTAAACAATGGCGACGTTGCATTGCAAGACAAAAAACCTCCCAGAGGAACACTACACTCTGAAAAAGCACAATGAATCGCCTGCGGGCTCACAGAGCGACGCAAGCTCAAAAATTAATTTGTTAATTACTGCGTAATAAACATATGGCATCGCGAGATTGTACCACAAAGTGCCTCGTGCATTATGCATGTAATTGCGTGTGCATGCGACACGGCGAATACAGGGGGCGGCTGGCTGGAGAGCTGGCACGGTGGTTTGCATGGCAAGATTCGGTTAACACGCGCAGCGATGCTAATGCGTGTGTTACACACACTACAGCACGTACGCACGAGCGACATACACCATCACGAAACATGACTGCACACAATCAACGTGTTGCGGTCGGGTATCCGCCAATGAATAATATAAAAAACGCATCTAAATTAATTATGATTTTCGAGTATCATCGATGACGGCGGGCATCGAACGAGATTGCGTCGACTTTTCCCTGGCTTTCCAATTGGCTGGTTTCTGGGCTCACTGATCGTCTTTGACGCAAAAATGACGAGAGCATGTTTTCGCTTCCACGCATTAGATAGGTATCGAGAGAAGCACTCTCTATGAATTTTATTGTAAATTTAAGTTTAAGAATTCAAGTTTAGGACAACTAACATGGCCGTACACACATAAATCTCTGCCTCACCCCACCACCCAGTGCACGCGCGTGCATTCACTTACTTAATACTGTCCTTGTGGTTCTTTCTCAGCTTGGTGAGCGGCACCGACTGCGGCCTGGCCTTCGTCGTTCCCTCGGCCATGTTCAGGTCATCCTCATCTTCGCCCCCCATCTTGTCCTGCTGGTTCGGCCACGTGTACTGCCTCAACGCCGTGTCGGTCGTGAATTCCAACTTTGGCGATATTCCCTGTAAACATCTCGTTGCATTATTTCATATTCTTGCCTCGTGAGAGAGAGAGAGAGAGAGAGAGAGAGAGAGAGAGAGAAGAGAGAGAGAGAGAGAGAGAGAGAGAGAGAGAGAGAGAGAGAGAGAGAGAGAGAGAGAGAGAGAGAGAGTAGGTAGTAGAGTAGTAGAGAGAGAGTAGAGTAGTAGAGAGAGAGTAGAGAGAGAGAGAGTAGTAGTAGAGAGAGTAGTAGTAG